AATCGAAGTTCAAAACATAGACTGGAACCAAGAACAAAGCAGGAACTATTACCAAAGCCTGCAACCTGTTCTTTTCTGCTGGAGGCTGCACCATGTTTGCTACCTTTCTTATCACATCTCTTGGAGGAGAAGACATTATCCTCGGACTCCCATGGCTCAAAAACGAAAATCCTCAAATTGATTGGACCAAGAGTGAAGTCTTGTTAGAGCAAGATCCTATCATGATCCAAGCTCTTATGACAGATAGGGCCAAACACACTTCTATGCAACCAAGAATAGAAGAAATCACCAATGAAGAAGCACCAGTCTCTTCTGAACCTGCCCTTAATCTTATTGATGAAGAAGAGGAAGATGACCCAGAAGAAATAATAGAAGAACTAACCAACGACAAAGTTCTTATCACTTATGTCAAAGGTGAAGAATTTGTAGGGGTCTATGAAAGAACAAACTTGACACACCACTCACACAAGAACACATTCCCTCCACCTTCTCCTTTGTCTCGCGAATGAACAGAGTTTCTAAGGTCCCAAACTCAGCCCGGTTCATGTTCTCTCCTCTTCTGATTTGTAAGGCTGCAAATGTCGCACAACAGCTCGTGCAGGAAGCATATGCTAAAGAAAAACCAAAGATGTTTGAAGAACTTGTACCAGAAGTTTTTCATATGTACAAGGACACCTTCAACAAAGCAGCAATGGATACCTTGCCTCCATCCAGACCCTTCAACCATAAAATAAAACTCAAACCTGATTTCGAACCACGTTCTTGCAAAATCTACCCCTTATCCGCAGCTGAAGAAAAGGCTATGAACAAATTTGTTGATGAACACTTGGCAAAAGGCACCATCTTACCATCTCAATCTCCACAAGCTTCTCCGTTCTTCTTCATAGGAAAGAAAGATGGATCATTACGACCTTGCCAAGACTATCAAAAACTCAATGATGCTACAAAGGATGCTTATCCCCTTCCACAAATTCTCAACCTCATCAACAAACTGAAGGGCGTAACCATCTAAAATGGATGTCCATGCCAGATACAATAATGTTCACATACACAGCCCAGATAGATGGAAAGCTGCATTCAAAATGTCACACGGATTATTTGAACCCACGGTTATGTTCTTTGGCCTCTGCAATGCACCAGCCACTTTCCAAGCAATGATGAAAAACATCTTTTCTGATATGCTGGATGAAGGATGGATGGTCATTTATATGGATGACATCCTCATATTCTTGAAAGACATCAAATCCCATCACGAATGTACCACCAGAGTCCTACAATGACTTTGCAACCACCAACTTTCACTCAAGCCAGAAAAGTGTGTCTTTGACATGGATGAAGTTGAATATTTGGGTCTCCTTATTCACCCTGGACAAACTTGCATGGATAAGGTCAAATTAGACAGTGTAATTAAATGGGAACAACCTACAATGGTCAAACATGTTCGTTCATTCCTTGGATTCACCAACTTCTACCGCTGATTCATCGCTGACTATTCTACTATTGCGAAACCACTTATTGATCTCACAAAGAAAGATGCAATCTTCAATTGGACTACTGGTTGTCAAAAAGCTTTCAACGACCTAAAGAATTGCTTCCTCTCCGCCCCTGTGCTTTCCATTCCCGATAAAGATACTCCATTTGCTATTGCTGTTGATGCATCCCTTTATGCAACAGGAGGAGTCCTTCTACAGAAAGACACAAATGGTGACTGGCACCCTTGCTCCTATCTTTCCCAAACCTTCTCTCCTGCTGAATGCAACTATCAAATCTTTGACCAGGAGTTGCTCGCCATCATATGAGCTTTAGAAGCTTGGCATCATTATCTTGAAGGGTCTCCATTTCCAGTCCTTGTCATGACTGATCACAAAAATTTGACCTACTTCCGCCAAGCTCAACAACTGAACTGTAGACAAGCTCGTTGGCTCCTCTTCCTCTCTCGCTTTGATTTACAACTCCAACATGTCCCTGGCAAAGATCTTTCCATCCCCGACTCTCTTTCCTGCCGGCCTGACCATGTTCTGCTCAATGCAACTGACAACTCAGATGTTACCTTGTTACCCGAGGGGTTGTTCAATAACTTGATTGACACTGCAATGAGAGACAATCTCCGTGTTTCCTCTTCCATTGACATCATAGTGCAAAAGACCATTGATGCTCTTTCCAATTCCTCCCTACCCCTCCCTATGAAAACTGCTCTCTCTGATTGGACCTTCACCGACCACATTTTAACGTTTAAGGGCCAAGCCTACATCCCTCCTGGTTCTTTGCGCAGAGACCTTATCTTGCTGCACCATGATAGCCCTACTGCTGGCCACCCTGGCCGTTTTAAAACCCAGAAATTGCTTTCCTGTGACTACTGGTGGCCAGGACTTCCAACCTTAGTCCGGAAGTATATTGAAGGTTGTGTGGTGTGTCAGCAGAACAAGGTCAACACTCATCCTACTGCGCCCCCGCTTTTCCCTATCTCTGCTCCGACCTCCTCTCGCCCCTTTGCTCAATGCTCTGTTGATCTCATCACCGATTTTCCACCCTCCAATGGCTTTAATTCTGTCATGGTCATGGTAGACCATGGGCTTATGAAGGGGGTGGTCCTTACACCTTGCAACAAGACAATTGATGCAGAAGGAGTGGCCAATGTTTTCTTCAAACATGTCTACACACATTTTGGTCTTTATGACAATATTATTTCTGATTGAGGACCACAGTTTGCAGCCAAGTTTGCACAAGAGTTAGGAAGACTTCTCAGATACAAAATTGCCCTATCAACCGCACTTCATCCTCAAACAGATGGAGAAACTGAATGAGTAATCAAGAATTAGAAGTATACCTTCGCATATTCTGTGCAAACGATCAAACCTCTTGGGCAGACAAACTCCCTATGGCAGAATTTGTACACAATTCCCATCATCATTCAGCATGAAACACTTCACCATTCTACCTTATGATGGGATACCACCCACAAGCAATACCATTGGCTACCGAAAAAATCGGATCTTCCAGCCGTTGAAGCAAGAATATCAGAACTCCAGAAGGCTCAAGAAGAAGCTCTATCTTCTCATGAACTCGCCAGACAAACAATGAAACAAAGAATCACCTGTTCATTTACCCCATTCAAGAAAGGCAATAAAGCTTGGCTAGAAGCCAAGAACCTTCATCTCAATTACCCCAATAGGAAGTTGGCACCCAAACAAGAAGGACCTTCACTATTTCAGAAGTTCTCAGACCAGTCACATATCACCTAAAACTCCCGAACCAATGGTGTGTTCACCTGGTATTCCACGCAGCACTTCTTACTCCTTATCATGAAAATGAAGAACACAGTCCCAACTTCCCTTTGCCACCTCCTGACTTAATTGACGGAGAAGAAGAACATGAGGTAGTAGAAGCCATCCTCAGACACAAAGGAACTCTCTCACGACAATGCTTCCATGTCAAATGGAAAGGATACCCATTGGCCAATAATGAATGGTTATCGGAGTCTGATTTAACCAACTCCGCTGAAATCTTGAACAGATATAAGCAGGCACATTGACTCACTCCCTCTCCAGTTCGAACTATCATCTCTAAACCATTCAAACAATGCCTTCTACCAGTGGACGAAACTTTGTCCCATCTAGCGCTGAAGATATAAATCTCATCATCACTCACAACAGTGCTCCCAATGTTCCTATTCCTAATCTTTGTTTTCCTGTCTTCTCTCCTTGCCCTCATTATATGACTATTAGTCAATGAAACTCTCCAGAAGTACCATGCCAAGAATCTCCATTCCAATATACCAGTTCACCCACTCCTCCACCATTACCATTCCATGAACCTGTTGATCAGATGTTCATCAACACTCCAGCTAGTCCAACAACGATTAGAAATCGTGAGCGTATAGCAGCTCCTTGGAGAGTAGCCACTGATCCCTACTTGTCCGATCTCGAAGATCGTAGACTCCGTTGTAGGATCATGTTGTCATCACAACTCTTCAAAAACCCCATTAAAGATGCTATTGATACTGAGCCTACACTCAACGCCCTCTATGACCTCTATTGTCTTGGAGATTGTCTTGAATGTACCCTGGAACGGTACAATGGTGAGCGACGAGAAGATGAACTCTTCTCCCTTGACTATAGTATCAGAGATATGTCATCAAGGAAATATCCTCTGTGGTCATGTTGCTGATTTCCCTCTCGTCTCTTCGATTACTCTTGATAACTAGAAGATTCCCTTTGTGCTGCACAGATCTTCTCCTTCATCAATGCTGTCCTGACTCTCTGGCATAGACACAGGTGGGCATATGGTGTTATGTCCAACAATTTCATACCGGAAAGGACACAGTGGGTTCTCACACACAGTGGAATCAATCAGTATTCAGCCCTCGTTAACAGGCTATATCTCCAAGGGTATTGCCCTATGTGAAAAAGGCGACATTCAGGATGCGAGGGCAGCATTTGATGTTGCGTTCATGTGATCAAGATTCAGAAACTGTTCATTTTCTACTCTTGATCAAGGTACGTTGCAGTTTAGTGCTGCCGAAGTCCGGTTCAGTCTGGTTCTTGGTACTATATCTTCGAACCCAGAACTGGACCTTCAGTCAGGTTCAGGCAAGGAGGGTGAACCCAGGACCGGACCATTGTGAATGTGTTTGAGAGGGTCTGGTTCGAGTTCAGAACCGGTTCGAACCCTCAAACCTCACATTTTACAGCTATTTGCAAAAACATTGTCAGTACACATCATCTGAGAGAGTAAAATCAGCTGCAATCTCAAGTTCGCGGCTATAAATCTTTTCTAAGACTGGAAACGGCATCATTGTGGTCTACTTGATTGAGAATCATCTGTTATGAGGTGTAATCATTAACTTGCAAACTTGAAAACATGAAAGAGTTGCACCTCGCTCCAGCAGTTGTGGGCAATAGTGCAGATGAATTGGTTTTCCATCCTCTGCCAACAGTTCAAAAGCTAGGCGAGCCTCCGTAGACATATTGCAAATTTGTAGTTATGACTGAACAACACTTGGACAATTGCAAGTTGTATTCAGACATAACTATGACTTGAAATAAACAATCATTATCTAGACACCGTTGTTGTTATTTTAGACAAAAATTAATGAGTGTTTTGAGCTCGAGGGCTGTAATGATAGAGTTTGAATAGGATGAGAGCTTGGTGGGTGAGCAAAAGGCGGAGAGCAACACACGAATCGTGATGAGAGTGCAGAAGAAAAGAGAACGAGCAATTGAAAGGTAAGTGAGATGCATACCATCATGCAAAGCCCGCACAACTTATAAGGGCCTTCAAATGATGATGATGGTGTAATCATTACACAGAGAGGACATCTAGAATGATAGTTAGAGTTAGACGCCCGTACATCTGCAAGTCCATTAGCAATGGCATTGAATGCTTTCAATGGTCCGAGTATCGTGTTGATCGTAGATTGAAAGTCGTTGGGTGCCAACGCGGTATCAAATATGACAGAATGAAGAGTGTTTGTTTGGATTAGAAGCCTTCGCCAAAAAACAACTGACTGAATACCCACCATTGCAAGGAGGGTGGTAGGAATCTGGAGGAGGATAACACTGAATGTATCAGAAATGCACAAACATGCGAAAATTTACGAACTTGTTAGTAGTTTAATGAATGCAGAAAAAGAACACGCACCTTTTCATTAGCGAGCTGCTCAGGCTGGATCTCTCATTATTTTCATCCTAGAAGTGAGTGTCAGAGTGAGCTGGGGGTCTGGTGTTTGGCGCCAAGTGTATGGTGGATGCTGATGTCAGTCGTTAGCATTTGTACTTTGCACAACTAAACGCCAAACATATTACCATTTTAGGAAGGCACGGGTACAAACTTTCCTAGTGCTGTGCGTCAATGAGTCGTTCTATCATTAGGCTGAGGTAAAGAGGGTTTGGACCAGTTCGAACCAGTCCGAACGCATTCGCAATTATCACTCGAGGACCGAACCTGGAACTGGACGTGGAGTTCGGTTCTTCAGTTACATCGAACCTGTGACCAGACCCTCGGTTCAGTCTGTGAAGGTTCAGGACCGGACTGCGGCAGCACTATTACAGTTGCCTATGTGTTGTAGGTTTAGCATGCTTATCTTTGATTCATTTGGAGACTTATTTTAGGGTTAGGGTCCGTCCTGGGACGGATTCCCATATATGGATGGATAAGCCCTAACCCTAGACTAAATGGAATGAAGACGACACAACTCCAGAAAATTTTTGCATGTCAACTTCGGAAAATTATTGATGACATGACGGACAGTGGGAGTGGATAGAAGCAAGAAAACTCCAGCGGGAAACTGTTGGGCAGCAGTGAACTGCGCCCGCGATACTCCATGATACTCAAAAAGCCTGTGCAGGAGACAGGTAGACACAACAGACTCACCGTCATCGATGAGTTGGTGGTCAGATACAACAAGCGAGACGGGCGGTACGAGGGTGAAATTGGAGATTGGATTTGAAGACGAGGAGGCAGCCATGATGGGGAGCTGGAGTTCAACAATAGGAGGAGCAAATGCCGGAGAGGAGCGACAACAAAGTGGCAAGAGGAGCTGGAGTTCAAGAATAGGAGGAGCAAATGTCGACGAGAAGTGACAACAAAGTGGTGAGAGGGAAAAATAATAATAAAGCCAAACATGAAGAGCGGGCCGGTGACGATCATAAGCACACCTTAGCTATCCGTTATACATGGTACCCTAATGATCGGGTCCAGGAAAGTAGTCAAGACTGTCGTCCCTTAATTGTTACACCAAAAGGCAGTGATAATGAAAGCTCATGCTTCATTATCTCGGACAGTATTTATGCTGATCATGGGAACTCAGGTAAGCCAACGGGCTTACATATATGTGCGTATCCTCACCCGCGTCATGCTGGATTCAGAAAAGTTCACTAGGGCTCAGTCATCGTTTTCCGATGTACACTAAGCTCAAGGATAAGATGTCTGTTGTTTTGGGACTCCATCTCATGCTTTTAACCTTCCCTTAGCTCCCAGAAGGATCACAAGGGAATCTCATGTCTCATATCCACAATCTATTTCCTTCCGCCGTCTGACTCACTGATTATCCGTCCGCCTCTAAAATTATGTTCGACTGAGTCACCTGTATGGCCGAGCCAGACGACGAGAAGTACTCTTCTCAACCTCTCACTCGACTGGCTTTTCCAGCACAATTGTCCACACCCATCGCCCTATGTCGAATGCTTGCCTACGCTGTAGGAGATGTTTATGGTTTGACACCGCATCACGCAGCGCACTTAACTGTAAGTCTTCTTTTTGTCTGGCGCCACCAATTCTCACATTTTCTTAGAAGTCAGCTGCGACTGTATTGCATCCTCCTTGCAGTTAGCCCCCGTGTAACTTGCTGCTCTGAAATCCAAGTTCACGCTTCCGCTACCCTATCTCATCCTCTTCGTTTCCTCTGTCTGATGGATGAAAAGTCCATCGACGTTGTCTCTAGCCCTAGTTTCTCTTTTGGGAAATTCACTCGGGACTGAGACAAGAGCTCTATTCCCGTTGGGGCATTCAACCTCCCTTTCATCAAGCGTGTCAAAATAACATCCAGAAATGATATTAACTAATAGTCTAAGCAGTGGAACAATCAGCGATTACAAGCAACTGTAACAAGACCACGCGAGCGGAGATGGAAAAAAAACATAAGGGCAGGAAAATAATGTGATGGGACTAATGACTTCGACTTCGGCAGCGTTTGGTTGGGCATGCAATCGAGAATGAGAATTACTTGTGTTCGGCTTCGGGTGCGGACCAGCATCCCAGAACCCGTAAAGCTCACTCGTCTGGACCGTCGATGAGAGGGGTCAAACGATCTATAGAAACAGTATTAGTGTGAGTATGTAGTATGCCGACAGAGGACGATTACTTACAGCAAATGCGACAAAATTGTGAACGGGTCTTAAGCTAGACGCCTATGTGAACAAATACGATCTGCTGTTCCAGTGGAACCTTCATCTTGCGCAACGACTTCACGGCCTTGTACAACGCTACCGCGGCCCGTGTGCAGTCCAATCTCCCTGAACTATCAACCAGGTTGGCATAAAAAGCGGACACAACCTGCCGCGCAACCTCGTCATCGACAGACCACATGGAACCTATGACACTGCGAAATCCGGAGAATTGCATAGCCGCAGCGAGATGGATTGACTCATCTGGACTCTTCTCATCGCCTACGGTAGTGTGGCAAGCAGATAAGAATGCAAACTCCGGATTCTGCCAGTGGGATCGGATGATGTCTGTGATCATTAAAGGCCCGTCGCGCATTGCGAAGGAAGATTGAAATGGTTGCTTCCGATTCGGCATTCCATGGCAGGCTAGGTGGAGCCACTGATTATGGCGTAATGAATCAAGTGCACCCTGGACGGTTGCGTCGCTGTTCTCGAGTGATGTGAAGGAAACGAGGGGCAATAGACGCTGAGCGACTGCGGCCAACTCAGGAGCGACACATCGGAGTTCCTTCCCTCCGTCCGGATTTGCTTGACCAACGGCAACGAAATGTTGCGTGGGTGCATCTATAGAAACCTGATGTCTCGCACGAACAAGAGTAGCCAAAGTCGGGGTGTAAGAGGAGATATAAATCTGAGACAAATTGTCCCTCTTCTTCTCGTACGGACCGGCTGCATGTAGAGGAAGTAGAGTGAACTGAGAGGTGGGACACCACCAGATACGCGAACCAGGTTCAACTCCTGACTCCATCAGCGCTTGGATCACGGGGTCAACAATACGATCCCAAAGCTTGCGGAGGATGCTGACAAGCTCGTGTTGATGATCAGAAGAACCAAATTCCTCTGCGAGGGACTGAAACTCAGAGGACAACTCCGAGACTTCGGTCTGCGTGATAGCGAGGGGAACGTGGACAGGATCTTGGGTGCCGAAGATAATCAGGGCATCACAGCCGTACTGACTGGCATTCACGATAATGACTGGACCTTCCTCAGCTGCCTCCTGGAGGCCAGAAAATAGTGGATGGAGGAGAAACCGAGAAAAGTCAGGGAGTATACGGATGCGTGAAACGACATCGTCCCATTGCATGGTCAGTTGCCGAATTTGCGGTGACTGGTCTTCAGTAGACTTATCGAACGCGCTACGAAGGCGAAAGCTCAGTCGCTTGAACTCTTCCGCCAAGGCTGCGCTGGTGTCACCTGACAGGGAAAGTTCGTCGAGCGGTGTGCGGAAACGTGCCAACTGTGTCCAGAATACCGCACGGCCCTGCTCCACAAGTTCCACAGCAGTGGTCAAAGCACCATAGCGAACACTGCATGAGAAAGCATCCATGGCAAGGGACGAAGTGGCTTCTTTGAATACGTCGAAATGACGGGAAGAAGATGACAAAAGAGCAACATGCTGATCTAGGAATTTCAACGCGGTCTGATAGGCAACCAATGCAGAGCCATGATTCGACTGTTCTGCGGAGCTTACCCATGACTTGGCAGTGTGAAGATCGCGACGAGATGCTGCATTGGGGATGTGGGGGAGTTCCGAATACAGCATAAATGACTCATCCAGGTCCGACATGACCTCCCTCTGCTGGAATCTGTCATGAAGGCTGGTGGCAAGATTGTTGAGAGACGTGGATCGATCAGAATGACCAGGGAAACGGAGGAGTAGTGCAGCGCGGTAGAGCTCAATGGCCTCATCGAGGTCAGACAGAGCGCCACGCTGGTGGAATCTGTCTCGAAGGCTTTGGGCAAGATTGGTGAGAGATGAAGCTCGATTAGAATCACCAGGGGCACGGAGGAGTAGTGCAGCTTGATGAAGCTCGATGGACTCATCAAGGTCAGATGAAGAGCCTCGCTGCTTGAATCTGTCTCGAAGGCTGACTGCAAGATTATTTAGATACACGGATCGACCAAAATGACCAGGGGGGCAGAGGGGTAGTGCAGTCTGATAGAGTTCAATGGCCTCATCAAGGTCAGACAGGGTGCCACATTGGTGGAACCTGTCTTGAAGGCTGCTGGCAAGATTGGAGAGAGACATGGATCGATCAGAATGTCCGGGGGGACATAAGAGGAGTGCAGCTCGATGAAGCTCAATGGCCTCATCAAGGTTAGATGGGGAGCCTCGCTGCTCGAATCTGTCATGAAGGCTGATGGCAAGATTGTTGAGATACACAGATCGACCAAAATGACGAAGGGGACAAAGGAGTAGTGCAGCTCGATTGAGCTCAATGGCCTCATCAAGATCAGATGGGGCACCACGCTGGTGGAATCTGTCTCGAAGGCTTAGGGCAAGATTGGTGATAGAGGAGGCTCGATCAGAATGACCAGGGGGACGGAGGAGGAGTGCAGCCCGATTGAGCTCAATGACCTCATCAAGGTCAGACAGGACGCCACGCTGGTGGAATCTGTCTCGAAGGCATAGGGAAAGATTGCTGAGAGACATGAATCGATCAGAATGACCGGGGGGACGGAGGAGGAATGCAGCTCGATGAAGCTCAATGGCCTCATCAAGGTCAGATGGGGAGCCTCGCTGCTCAAATCTGTCATGAAGGCTGATGGCAAGATTGTTGAGATACACAGATCGACCAAAATGACGAAGGGGACAAAGGAGTAGTGCAGCTCGATTGAGCTCAATGGCCTCATCAAGATCAGACAGGGCGCCACGCTGGTGGAATCTGTCCCGAAGGCTGTTGGCAATATTGGAGAGAGACATGGATCGATCAGAATGACCGGAGGGACGGAGGAGGAGTGCAGCTCGATGAAACTCAATGGCTTCATCAAGGTCAGATGAGGAGCCTCGCTGCTCGAATCTGTCATGAAGGCTGGCGGCAAGATTGTTGAGAGACATGGATCGATCAGAATGACCAGGGGGGCGAAGGAGTAGTGCAGCGCTGTGGAGCTCGATGGCCTCATTGAGGTCAGACAGGGCGCCACGCTGGAGGAATCTGTCTCGAAGGCTGTTGGCAAGATTGGAGAGAGACATGGATCGATGAGAATGACCGGGGGGACGGAGGAGTAGTGCAGCTTGATGAAGCTGAATGGCCTCATCAAGGTCAGATGAAGAGCCTCGCTGCTCGAATCTGTCATGAAGGCTGACTGCAAGATTGTTGAGATACACAGATCGACCAAAATGACCAGGGGGGCAGAGGAGTAGTGCAGCCTGATAGAATTCAATGGCCTCATTGAGGTCAGACAGGGCACCACGCTGGTGGAATCTGTTTTGAAGGCCGTTGGCAATATTAGAGAGAGACATGGATCGACCAGAATGACCGGGGGGACGAAGGAGGAGTGCAGCTCGATGAAGCTCGATAGCCTCATCAAGGTCAGATGGGGAGCCTCGCTGCTCGAATCTGTCTCGCAGGCTAATGGCAAGATTGTTGAGAAAAGTGGATCGGTCAGAATGACGAGGGAGGCAAAGGAGTAGTGCAGCTCGATTGAGCTTAATGGCCTCGTCAAGGTCAGACGGGAAGCCTCGCTGGTGGAATTTGTCTTGAAGGCCTAGGGCAAGATTGGTATGAGATTTGGATCGTTTAGAATGACCGGGGAGACGGAGGAGGAGTGCAGCCTGATTGAGCTCAATGGCCTCGTCAAGGTCAGACAGGGCGCCACGCTGGTGGAATCTGTCTTGAAGGCTGATGGCAAGATTGGTAAGAGATGAAGCTCGATCAGAATCACCAGGGGGGCGGAGGAGCAGTGCAGCCCGATTGACCTCAATGGCCTCATCGAGATCAGACAGGAAGCCTCGCTGGTGAAATCTTTCATGAAGCCTGACTGCAAGATTGTGGAGACGCATGGATCGAAGCCAATGGCCAGGGGGAGAGCGCCGCAGAGCCGCTCGAGCCTTCTCTACTTTGTCCACTTTGTCAAGGACGCGAGATGATGACTGCCCCATCTCACTATGAAGGGCTTCGGAATGAGTGCAAGAGTGATATCAATAAATACGCACACAGGGAGGATCAACTCGAGCACCGGCACAGCGAAGATCAGGGAGGGACATAATACAGTGAATGCCGAGGGAGCTCGTGAATTTAACTGCGAGCCACAACGTCACAGAGAGGCTGAGGCAGGGCCTCTCAATTCGATATTAAACTCAGAGCCGAAAGAGTACTAGTACGACAAGGCTTGACAAGGCAATGTAGTACATAGTACGCCAATTGCCAATAGTATGCAATGCTCCATTAGCAGTTCGGGCAAAAGGCTCTGAGCCGCAAGGCCAAGCCTGAAAAGCACTTGAAGTTAAGGCAGGGTGATGGCATGAGGGCAGTGACTGTCATGTGGCAGGCACGCTACTAGTAGATAGTTATAAGACTTACTAGTCAACCTGGAACAACTTGACAAGCGCCCACAAACTTTCATGTAATTCCATTATTCAGCAGCTTAGCCGAATCTTGAATCTTCCACAGTTTGTTCTCAATATTTGCTCAGCGCTCAATCTTAACTCCAAACCATCACTCTGTTGGACATCTTCGAAATCTCGTTCAGAATAACGCGAGGACAGGATGAGTCGAGTCAGATCTGAGTTCACTATAGTAATAAGAGGCTTCTGATTAGTGACTGAATTGCAGGCCTAACCCGTCAACATTCATTCCTACCTTTGTCTGTAAGTCACTTGCCAGCGAGTTCAGGAGACAGCATTCATAAATACGTCAGGTATGATGGAAAGCCCTCACCCCGCATACTACTGGTGTCTTATACTGTCTACGTGAAGGCAGCGCTATCATTATGTCCTGGCGACAGCATCTGGTATATGACTCCACTTTCTTTGATTTACCCACAGGCAGTGCATAGTAATATCTTCTTCATCCAGTCGCCATCGTTCCTTGGGGTCGCTGCAACGGTTAACAGCCTCAAAGCTGTACCGCAATTTGCTTTTGCAGTCATCGTAAGCATTCAACTTCGCATCCTACAAATCTTGGTTCCTTGATCCCCAATTCTATTATGCCGAGTTAGACGATGAGTCAATGCTCTTCTCAACCTCTCGCTCGGCTGGCTTTTCTAACCTAATTGTCCATACCCATCGCCCTATGTCGAATGTTTGCTTACGCTAAAGGAGACGCTTATGGCTTGACTCCATAGTATGAAGACTAGCGCACTCGGCTGTAAGTTTTCTTATTGTCTGGTGCTACCGATTCTTATATTTTCTCAGAAGTCGGCTGCGACTGTATTGCGCATATAGCCCCCATGGGACTTGGCAGCTCTGAAATTCACGTTCACGTTCACGCTTCTGCTTTCGCTACCCTGTCCGACCCTCTTCCTTTCCTCCATCTGATTGACGAGAAGTCCTTCGACGTCGTCTTTAGCCCTTACTTTTTCATTGCGAAACTCACTCGGGACTCAGACAAGAGGTCTGATCTCATTGGGGCATTTGGCCTCTCTTCCATCAAGCATACCAACAACGGAGTGGAGGCTTCCATTTCGAAGACTGCTTAGACGTTTCTCGCCGTGCTTAAGAACCTCGCAAAGACCCACTCAAGGTTTCGTCCGTCTTTTCACCTGGATTTGGTATGTCTTAGATTTGGTGAGCCATTTTTGATCTACCTCGAGCTGTCCAATTAATATTATCTTAGTGTTGAATGTATCTATGATCTGGTGAACACCAGGCGCTGCAGCTTCGGCTCCCTTGTGCGTTGGACTGGCGGCAACTGGCAATGAGCCTGCCTCTGGCAGACTGAGCTGGTGTGGCTCGAGCTAATGATGATGGCTACCTACGACCGTCGACAATGCCCGAAGGCTCTACCCTGCTGACTAAGCTACGCAAATACTGGCAAACCCCCGCCTGCACCACCCCCTCGTTAGGGGATACCCCACTCCAGCGCTACAGTGGCTGCGACTCGAGATGCGCATCGTCAACTGCGACAATGACAAGACGGCCCGCAGAGATGGAGAAATGAGGAGCTACAAGTGCGATGATTTCCGTTAGCTAATGCATACAACGATGCAGAGGCCCTGCCCTCCATTATTGCATAGTTCACACTCAAGTTACGATACATATTTGTGTCTCTGGCTTTTAACATGCTGAAATACAAGGAAAAGATCGATGAACGCGAGTGCGAAGGGAAGAGTGATTAGGGTGAAGAGTAGCGCGCTAGGAAGGGACACGCAACAATAAAAGCCAACGAACATAACTGGAACATCCGTCCCAAAGTACTGCGCTGTTGAGGTCTGGATGTTTACCCAATGTATCTCGCATGTGCTTTGGTTCCTGTAGAACAGTGGCCAAACATGACCATGAAGACTGATGCTAGTCCGAGACAGCCAATCCATGCCGTTCAAGCGGACGTAGAACATCGTAAAATTGTTCAAGAGCCTAGCACCACTGCTGTGAAGCGACCATTTTTCTATTGCCCTCCTGAAGAGACGGCAGGGTTTTCGCCAAGGGCAAGTTGAGGAGCCCTTGATTTTCCCTTCACATCCAGCGTAATGCAGGTCAATCATGCTCAAGCAAAATACCCAAACCACCCACTTTGCCTGTTTTCGCGCGTTTAGACACCTCCTTTGGTTGCCGCTCTCCTTCATCAAACACATAGTCGGGAAGAGCAGAACTAGTGAAATGAGTGAGATCGGAAGTAATCACTCGGAGCATCAAATTGCACGACCTTTTGATGATCCGCGCCTCTATTGCCATCGAGTCCTCGTCGTACTTCTCCCACATCTTGACGAGTTTTGTAAACTCGGTGGATGGATATGGTATATCAAACTTCCGCGGGCCCACAGCCCCAACTTCAAAACAGAAAATGTGATGAGCCGCCGGTATTCCGCAGGGAAACGGCATAGGAACTGAGAACGCACGAGGCTTGGGTTCAATCAGAATACCAATGTAGAAGGTCGTCCAGTACACTGTGCTCGCACCATCGACACCTTCAACGTCAGCTTTCGTTCGCTTGGAAACAATTTTGGAGATTTGTCCCCGTGCAACTTGTCTGACCTCCTCTTCCGTAATACAATGTGAGATTTGAACAAAGCCTTTGACAAATGGATGCGCGAGAATCAACGAATCAACGTTTTCAAGCTTCATGACCAGTTGCTGTATCTGAGACTCGACGGTTCCTGCCCTGAACATCGCTTGCAAACTTGCGGGACATGCAACGAAAGGACTCTTACCATTTTGTCTGCAAATCCACAGCGCCAGTTGATGCAACAACTTGAAGGTAATATCGATACTTGCGGAAGAAGTCGTGTTTTTGGAAAAGTTCTGACCAACTTGCTGTGCCGACGATAACCTTCTCCAGAATGTTTGTTCCTATACACCCTTGAGAATACCACAAAAAGCAGAATTAAAAGGACAGTGCGCCCACCTTTCTTGAACTCTTCAGTGACGATCGTCTGTGTTGATGCTGTTACACCATGAGTTGAGCACGTTGCAGGATACGCGGGTGTGATGATGGGCATCCTATGGGATCGATCTGCAGGATAAAGCTATCACAGTGTATGTGGAACTGCGCCTGATTCACTGAAAGTAATACTTTTGGATTCCACACGCAAGCTTGTAATGGTCCTTCCTCTATTTCTTTCAGGAGCACCGGTAACGGCCACGCCCTGGAGATCAATAGCATACTACACGCGCACCAAAAGCACTTTCAGGAGCGGGCGCACCATTGGTACATGATGGTAAAAAATCGTCTCACGATCGCTCCCGCGGGAGCGTTGGGATACAGTTGACATATTCGAGCAACGAGGATTGCCCACGCGACACCGTCCAAGAACCCGTTCATATTCGAGTAGATGGCTCTCCCTGAACGCAGTACATAGGTGGGGCCTCTCATCCAGGAGAACAACTCATGTTGAGCCCAGAGCTGGATGCATCGAAGAGAATCTCGATAGACCTCAATATGGGGCACCAGACGCAGAATTTCATCAGTCACCCGTGATTCTATGCATGGATGAACATCGTCGAACAATATGAAATGCAGTGCTTACCTCTAAGACTTCGCAAACATTGAACGTCTAGATTTTGCAAGAGATTATCATCCTTCAGAGATAAATTATCTGGTATGGATGGCAGTGCCAGACGAGCCATCCGAAAACATAATGGTATTTCTGACATTTTGGTCTTGATGATAGGAACGTATGCCTCCGGAACACCCTATACCATCGTCAGTTCACGTCGCAGAGGCAATCGTTGTTGAATCAAACTCACCGATACCTCCGTAACATCCTCTACATTTCTAAGCATCGGCTCGAAGACTTCAAAAAAGTCTTTGCGGGACACGTGTTTAGGAACAACGTAAAGTATATCGATGTCGGACCCAGGTCCATGAACGCCAAGACGATATGAACCGAAGGTAAATATTTTTCCCCCAGCGGCGTTGGCTGCTGCTTCCGAAAGTCCGCGACACAGTGACACTTGATTCACAAATTGTCTGACGACGGCAGCTGCACGTCCGAGCACCGTTTCCCTGCGAAATCGAACGCGACCTCAGCGCCGCCTGCCTCTGCGAAGGATGCATCGAAAAGGCTAAAAACTATGTAGAAACAATCCAAGAATCATGAAGTAGGACTCATGACATGCATATCCAATGATAACGTAGAGAAACATTGATCCTACCTGAGCCGGGACTCGTCCACACTCTCGAAAACATTCTGTCTTCTCAGCTCCTCCATCAAGGTCGTTGTGACCTCCTTTTCCCTCTCGCTCGATTTCGCGGTCGAGATTGGCGGTGTGACTCCAAGATATCTAGGGTGATCGTCAGTTCAATTGTTGTTCTATTATTGAATATTGTATTTACCCTTTTTCCGTGGTCATGACTGCGTGAAGTCGAGAATTCCAAATAGTCTTGCGGCTGAACTTGCGACGAACGACTAGATCGTGTAGAGTTGTGCCAGTTGCGGGTAATGAGGAAGTTCCCGGCAAATCGTTCTCACCTGAGTTAAACGAATGTCTTCCCTATATGGTCTGGCTAGGGGAGACTAGAGTTAACTCGTCATGGACTGATTTCGGATGAATACCCCATTCGATGATTGATGATAACAGAGTTTGAAATAACTGATCTTCTTCAATGCAAATGGCAAATCACACCAAGCGGCACATGCAGATCAGAGGAAGCCCCGCTAAGAATATTCCAGGGGGCTGAAGCTCGACGTGTCACGGTGGAACATTACTACGTGTATGGGTATAATTGAAATGCAAGGGAGCAGCTCATTGCCCAATCAGGTGAAACTTCTCCGTGCGGACCCCCTCAATGCCAGTGGTCAGAATAACTTCACTTGGCTTCCTGCAATGCGTTCAAGAGTCATTCATGTCATAATCATAACAGTGTGGCTATAATTCGAAAGCGACCTACCTTTGCGGATGGTTGGAATTGAAAGGTTGCTGTTGCGCCGGTCGAATTTGAGCTGGCATAACGGCCATCAGAGATCGTGCCTAAGTCGTGGCAATGAGATGGTTTTTGAATAGTCGAAGGCTTAGTAGGTCCATTCATACGTTTTCATCACCCGCGGTGATACTAGTGGGTCATGCGATTAGGCTCGTTGACTCATCTGGAAAGCTGCAGCGGCACGAGTTGGACGCATGAGCTGAGTCGCCTAGATTGTCATGGAAGGTGCTCATGATAACAGCATCGTGTCTTCCAGTTGGGCGTCTAGTGAGAGGTTAATGCTATGAACCATCATAAACGCGCACCTCTGCAACTTCGAGTCTGACACCCACAATCCCCACCACACCAAGTTGACTGAGCCCAACCCCACTAAAATGGCGCAGCCCATTCCTAACACCACACCTGTTCGAACGCTCGGGGATCATGGGGAGCGCGTTATCGCAGTCGCTGTCTTCCCTGACAAACAACGTATGGTCACGGGCTCGTACGATGCGATGCTTCGTCTGTGGGATTTGAAGACAAGTGTAGTGTTAAAGAAGATGGAAGGGTCCCGCAATCGGGTGCAGGCATTGGCGGTATCACGTGATGGCCAGTTTATTGCAAGCGGTGATACCAACGGAGAACTCATCTTTTTCAGCAGATGGCAAAGTGCTAGCCAGTGGATCATCAGACTCCACGACGACGCCGTGGAACACATCAACGTGGGAGCGCCGGGAAGTCAATCCAATTAGTTGTGGTGTAAATACAGGCGTCCGCTGCGTTCGGTATTCGCCATTATCATGGTCTCTACTTCTTGCAATTGCAACAGAGCACAACATCCAAATTCACCAGGCTAGTTCCGCTTCAGATGCTTGGGGCTCTATTTACTTTCGCTCAGCTCATGGCAACGATCAGCGAAGGATACAACTACTCACTTGCGTGGACGCCCGATGGCACGCGCCTTCTCTCAGGGAGTCATGGGGTTGATCCCACCGTACGAGAGTGGAATTCATCGACTTGGCAGCGGGTCGGTGATCCCTGGAAGGGCCATTTAAAGAGTATTCCCGCCATATGCCTAAAGTCTAACGGCACTCTCCTTGCCTCCGCATCTGACGACAACTGTGTTCGCCTCTGGCGGCTCTCGGATCGACGGACCGTCGCCGTATTCGAGCACATTGGTGAGGTGAACTGTGTCACCTTCTCCGCAGATGGCAGGCACACCCTCAGCGGAGGTGTGGATAAGAAGATCTCAGAGTGGTCAGGCCATCCGAAGATGCTTTGCCACAAGATAATCTAGAGGATGGTCTCATGAAGATGCAGGCGACACCAGGTAGGTTCGTTTTCATTTTACCGTCCCCTCATCATCTAAGCATCTTTTTCATGCCAAGACCTAAGCCTACTCTTATTTCAAGGTATGTTCCCCCATTGACTCTGACGACGCAATACAAACATCATCTTCACGCAGGCCCTCATTATTAATCTCGCAAACTGCGAACCAGCAACATTGTCATGCGCTCTTTCGGGCAGGTAGAATTGGAGCAGCCACCGAATCGTACCAATCCATCCTGGAGAAGATTGACGAGGCTGCGAAGGCTAGCTTATGTACTTGGTTCGCTAGTAAGTATCCAGTAATATTACCCCTTCTACAGTCCTCAACCTCACCTCACTCCGCTCTCCAGTAAGAAAGAAGCGCGCCAGTGCCGCTCTCGCGGCGAGCACTTACTCATGCAGTTTTAAACAGAAAGTATTGACCATTTTTTATTTGTACCTTGACAGTCGAGCAGTCATGAGGTCGGGCCCTCCTCGGAGGACTTCCAGGGCGAGGGTATGGGTGTGTGCAGATGTACCTTGAGGGACTGGTGTGTTCGGTAATGAGAGAGTGTTAGGAGGAAGTTGAGAGTGAAAGGGGGGTCGCGGGTCCGATGCGGGAAATGAAGGGATGAGTGTCGATTTCCACCACACGACAGCGTTCTGTAAAGTGGTACGTATCACATCAGGACGCAGTCTTCACGGTGTAATATCACCTGAGCACAACCACCGATTGATTTTATACTCGTTACATCGTAATTCCTAGTCAAGTTTTGTAGCAAAAGTTTATTGCCACCAACAATGTTCACGAGCATGTGGTGGATGATCGAACAAATACCAGATAAGCAAACGAAAATGCCTCCGCCAGTTCACGCATCAAAGTCCAGGAACATGACTACTGGCATGGTGCATGGCACACAGGGGATAAGTTAAGATTTCACATTCCACGCAACGTCATTAGGTATTGGCTTATTTAGTTGCAAGGACGCCGGGTCTACAACGATTGAAGTACTGGGGCTCGTAGGTTAGACACGTGAAGGTACAGTAAGGCCGCGCGTGCTGAGAACGCTAGAATCTCGTAGCCAAGAAATATAAATAAAGGAGAAAGGGAGTATTTCAAATGGGACGGGACATGTGAACACACATTGTAATATCGGGGACAGAAAACTCAACAGCATAGAAGGCGACTCCACCAGCGGGATTCATCACCTCCAAGGCGGAACGTATGCGGAGTGGCCCGGGCGTTCACAAGGCGGGACTGCTCGTGAGATAGGATGAAATAGGACCTTCTGTAGACCGTCCCATCCCCGTTCTCCTCCACAAGCAAGGCCCTCCAGCGATTTTTATCCAAGTCTTGTGGAAAGGCAACAGATGGATAGGGTTTCATCTCGCCTATCTGGACGAGGTAAGTGCGTGCTAGTAGATGATAGTGCCGTTCATGTGCAGTGTGTGTTCTCCACCTGGAGCCGTCTACTGCCACGAATCCAGGGGCAGTGATCTCTCGAACCAAAGGTGCAGCAGGGGCGGAAAAAGTGAGGTATCCGTCATCATCCATCTGTGCTAGTGGGACGCCGTTGAGCCATCCCTCCTTAGCATTTAGCAACTCTGCCACTGGATGCTTCCCCAGCGTTGCTTGTCTTGCGACATGCATATCCGGAAATTTCGGGAACGCAGAGAGCCCTTTTGCTGGGGGAAGACTGATGAATGGAGCGAGCCAACTCGCCCTTTGTCCTGTCTGTAGCAACGCTTTCGCAAGGGCAATAGTTGCACCTCGTCTGTCATTTTCGTCGAAGGCATCGGGGTCGAGCGTTACTCCGAACATGCCCATGATACTGAATACAGTATCCACGGGACGTGAAGATGTGCGCATGAGTGAGCATCGCCATACTCCTTGTCGATAAGCGTTCAACACATCGTCTTCTTTAACATCGGGGAGTGCTTCTGTAACCCCGCGGAGTGATTCTGTAACAGCGAGGAGCGCAAAGACATGGGGATCATTTGTGCGACCGAGGAGATTGACTGATATTTGACGCTCTCTCCGTTTTCTGTCGATAGGGAATCCCCTGTGCCTCCCCAGGGAGTTGCACTGAAGAGCGGTAATAAGAGTACATATGGCTGACTGGCCTGGGATGACTTCCTCATAACGGAATTTGAGATCTTTAGCCTCCATATCCAGCTTTCCGAGTGTCCAATGAAATAAGATAAATGTGTTCACTTGCGCTGTGGCTTCTTGGAACGTCCATGAACGTTCGATCCAGGTCGTATCTTCATCAACTCGTGCAAGTCTGCGCATTCCCCCAGGCAGAACGATGCAGATGGTACACTTCGAGTAGATCTGGTGCATGTTGCGGATCTGCCAGGGCTTGTCTTTGCGAGCCTTAACATCGTGCTTGTCCTGCAGCATGCAGAGTTTGTCAAGCCAGATGTACCTCGAACTGCCATCATTGAAACCTCGAGAATCGTGATAATGTTTGACCTCATAGTCTCTTTTGGCAGCAGTGCACGCATGTATGAGGACATCGATGCTGATCAGGTCGCCATCTTCAGCGCCCTTGATAGCGAATGTGCCGTACTCATCATTGGTGTGGGCAGGTAAACCCTTCCAAACGTATGATATAGCCGCGTATGAAAAGGAGGCCCTAGCAGGGATCTCGGAGACCTCGTGGATTGCGAGGACTTTATCATCTAGAAGTTGTCCGCAGTGGACGAACCGAAATTTGCAAGGGGTTGCATATGGGGAGATGTCTAAAGTCTTGCCTCTGAGTTCGCTGAGTGGTATGGAATAAATCCGCTTCGACAAGTGAAAGATGTTGGACAAGTGGAACATGTTCAAGGGCGGGGTAATGAACGGTGACAGACTTCAACAAAGAAGTCAGACACAAACGGTGCACTTTTTATCCGAGTCGACGCATGCACGATAAGGCTTTTCATGTTTGACGGGATGGAACATTCAGTGCGTATGCACCATGCAAGCCTGTTAGATCAGAAAATATAAAAGGAAGTCATGGCTGTGTTTTCAAGGTTCTGGAGGAGGAAAACACTTGTTTCCGCATCGATTTCGACGCTAAAAAATTGTAGCTAAGATAGGGCTTAGTTACGCAGACTATGTAGAATCCATTGCACGCATAGGCGCGATGTTTTCCAACGCGAAACTACATCCGTCGAACATGTGGATGCAATACCAACAACACCAAACACGCTTCTCGAACTTCGTGAACTTTAGTTTCAGGATTATACCTTACTAGGTAGAAACATGCACCTTACGTTCGACGAACAGCCCCAAGAGAAGGCTTTCGTTTCCGACGCCGACAACGCCTTAATCATTTAAACGTTAGGGTCCTCGTCAACACTTAAGCCATTCCAGATGAACAATATAGCTGCGTATGAGAAGGAAGGGATATTGGGATACTCATGGATTACGAGGATGTCATGATATAGACATTATACGCCGTCGACAATGGCCCATGGGGTGGCAGCTGGTGGCAGATCTCGGAGTACGTATAACCCCTACAAAGCCTCAATGAGATTCATAACCCAAGTTACGCCTACGGTATGATCAAGATTTACTTTGATGGGTCACCCTGACTTCGAAAAGCCACGGAACAGATGTCTTCGTCACTCTCCCCATAGACAGTGGAAACCCTGACTCTTCCATGGTGTCAAGGGGGCCTGGATCATCGACATTGCCACAGCGCGACCACCTGTGCCTTCTCTTTTCACCGCGATTTTGAATGAATCGGACTCATGATGGGAATTTGAAATCACAGCCTACTGGGTTATCTTGAAGTGGCAAGTCTCCACGCTCGAGCCTCTTGGTCATCCAGGGTCCTACCTTCCTGTATTGGCGGAGGTGTGACGCCGGCGCTACATGAACATACAGTTCGAACTCTGGGGTGGAAACTTCACGACACATGGCAGGTGCGGATTGGTGATAGGCTAACGTCAGATCTCGTCAGATGCATAGCGAATCCAGAGCAGTCATCTTTTGACAGCCTCAAGTTGCAATGGCAAAATCCCAGTGGTGTCATCTCCGTTCTCAGTATCATCGGCGGCGACGTCGTGCAGCATGCCATTTCACAGGCAGCACAGCTTCCAGGCAGCGGCCCATCTTACTTCAACCCCGTTTCCTTTTCATTTGGCTGGGTCGCCTACTTCTCAGCACCCTGGTCTCTCAGGCTGCTGTCGGGGAGGGCTGCCTTATGCCCCATCTGACTGTCTGTCCATCGTTGTAAACGCAAAAAAACGGACATATTCGCAGTGCAGCTTCGCACCAACATGTCTTGGCTTCTTGACCTCAAATCCACGTTTACACTTCCGCTATCTTGTCTCATCATCTTCGTTTCCTCCGTCTGATCGACGAGAAGTCAATCGACACCGCATTTAGCCCTAACTTATTGCTCGCGAGACTCGCCCTGGATTTGGAGGAAGGGTCCGGCCTCCTTGAGGCCTTCGACATCTCTTCGCAATAATGGAGGGGGGGTTGTCATTTCGAAGACTGCTCTGCTATTTGTCGCTGTTGTAGGGAAGCTCGAGGAGAACTCTCAAAGTTTCGAAGACTGTCACGTCCTTGCAGCTCGCAAAAATGTAGACTTCATCATTTCACCTGGATCTGGTACGACTGAGACTTGGAGAACGACTTTTGACCTACGTCGAGGTCATCGAACTAATATTTTTTTAGTATCACACCGGTATATCTACGGACTGGTGGACCTCACCGCTGTTGAGCAGAAACAAGAATTTCCCGACTTGGGCCATCCTGTACGTGGTTGCGAGATTCGTATCGCGAGTGCCCTTGTTCCTACATTTTGATTTTCTTGCTCACCACTATGTTCAGCTGCTATTGATGTCTTCTCCGCCACCCCCTTGCACGGATACAAGACGAACAAGTAATGCAAGCCCTCAGCCGTTGGCAGGCTACATACGCTGACGACATATACTCTCATAGGCTTTGGCCATATTCAATTTCTAAAGATCGTCCGCAGCCGGACGTCTCGAAGACTGGTCCGCTATTATTTTACCGTATATATGCTCTATCTATATTGTATGTATTCGAGCTTGCTCTTGTATCGTATTCTTGTGGACCGTAAAAACGCCCTAGTGTTGAATCAATACATTAAAGATTGTGGGTATGATATCATAAGATTGAAAAATATCCAGGGTACTCGGCGTGAGCAGCGGTGATGACGATCTCACAGCGAGTTATTGAAACAGTGCGGGAGCTCAGAACGATACAGCAGTATGGACAATGCAAGAACGAGAATACCGTGAAGAAATTACGTGAGGTTTGAGTAGTGGGACAGTAATTAGGAACGAGGAATCACAGCAAATGCAACGATAATGTGGCCAATCGAGTCTATAACTAGACACCTATGTGAACAAATATGATCTACTCGTAAGGTGCTGCAGCATGGAGAGGAAGAAAGGCCCATGATTGGTCGCATAGAAATTTCCACAAGAGACTAGTACATGAGATGCGTAGGACGGATATGAATAAAGGTCCGACATGACGCCCGCTGCTGGAATCCGTCTCCAAGGCTACCAGTTAAGAGACATGGATCAATCAGAATGACCAGGGAGACAGTCTACAGTGCAGCCCAATGGAGCTCAATAGCTTCTTCAAGGTCAGACTGGACGCCTCGCCGATGGTATCTGTCTTGAAGGCAGGTGGCAAGATCATTGAGAGATATGGTTCGAGCAGAATGGCCTGGGGGACGGAGTTCCAATGCACCCCGATGGAGCTCAATGGCCTCATCGAGATCAGATAGGACATCCCGCTGCTGGAATTTGACTCGCAGGCTGGTGGCAAGATTATGGAGAGACATAGATCGGTCGGAATGGCTAGGGGAACAGAGAGCCAGTGCGTGACGATGGAGCTCAATGGCCTCGTCAAGGTCAGATAGGACACTCTGCTGCTCGAATCTGTCTTCAAGGCTGACAGCGAGATTGGTGAGAGACATGAATCGGTCAGGATTACCAGGGGGACGAAGGAGTAGTGAAGCTCGATGGAGCTCGATGGCCTCCTCCAGGTCCAACATGATGTCCTGCTGCTTGAAATGCTGTAATCTGGCACGAAGGCTAGTGGCAAGATTGTTAAGTGACATGGAGCGATCAGGATGACCGGCAGAGCGGAGCTCCAGTGCAGCCCGATGGAGCTCAATAGCTTCATCGATATCGTGAGATAGGACAAATTGCTTATCGTATCTGTCTTGAAGGCTGGTGGCAAGATTGTTGAGGGACGTGGATCGAGCAGAATGGTCAGGGGGACAGAACTCCAGTATCTCCCTATGGAGCTCAATAGCCTCATCGACATCAGACAGGATGCCTCCCTTATGGTATCTATCTCGAAGGCTGGTGGCGAGGTTGTTGAGAGACGCGGATCGATCTGGATGGCCAGGAGGACAGAGGAGCAGTGTAGCCTGATAGAGCTCAATGAGCTCATCAAGGTCAGATGTAACACCCCGCTGCTGGAATCTGTCTCGAAGGTTGTGGACAAGGTTGTTAAGACATGTGGGTCGATCAGAATGACCCGGGGGACAGAGGATCAGTGCAGCCCGATAGAGCTCGATGAGCTCATCAAGGTCAGACGTGACGCCCCGCTGCTGGAATCTGTCTCGAAGGCTGTGGACAAGCCCATTCAAATACGTGGGTCGATCACAATGACCAGGGGGGCAGAGGAGTAGTGCATCCCGATAAAGCACGATAAGCTCATCAAGGTCAGATGGGACGCCCCGTTGCTGGAGTCTGTCTCGAAGGCTGTTGACAAGGTTGTTCAGAGACGTGAGTCGATCACAATGACCAGGGGGGCAGAGGAGTAGTGCATCCCGATAAAGCACGATAAGCTCATCAAGGTCAGATGAGACGCCCCGTTGCTGGAGTCTGTCTCGAAGGCTGTTGACAAGATTGTTCAGAGACGTGGGTCGATCGGGATGACCGTGGGGGCAGAGGAGTAGTGCATCCCGATGAAGCACGATGAGCTCATCAAGGTCAGATGGGACGCCCTGTTGCTGGAGTCTGTCTCGAAGGCTGTTGACAAGGTTGTTCAGAGACGTGAGTCGACCAGAATGACCCGGGGGACAGAGGATCAATGCAGCCCGATAGAACTCGATGAGCTCATCAAGGTCAGACATGATGCCCCGCTGCTGAAATCTGTCTCGAAGGCTGGTGACAAGGTCGTTCAGAGATGTGGGTCGATCAGGATGACCGGGGGGACAGAGGAGCAGTGCAGCCCGATACAGCTCTATGAGCTCATCAAGGTCAGACATGGCGCCCCGCTGCTGAAATCTGTCTCGAAGGCTGTTGATAAGGTTGTTCAGATATGTGGGCCGATCAGAATTTCCGGGAGGGTAGAGGATAAGTGCAGCCCGATAGAGTTCGATGAGCTCGTTAAGGTCAGACATGGTGCCCCGCTGCTGAAATCTGTCTCGAAGGCTGTTGACAAGGTTGTCCAGAGACGTGGGTCGATCGGGATGACCGTGGGGGTAGAGCTTTAGTGCAGCCCGATAGTGCTCAATGGCCTTATCGAGGTCAGACAGGCTCCCCCCTTGCTTAAATCTGTCGTGCAATTTGTTGGCAAGGTTGCTGAGACAGGTGGAATGAAGAGGATGGCCTGGAGGACACCTTCGCAAGGCCACTCGACAGGCCTCCACGTTGACTGGTATTTCATTTTGCCGAAATATGACAAGTCCGACGAGAACGAGAGCCAGAAAGTCCAAGAACGTGACGAGCATCAAGACGAAGAGTGGGACAGGGCGAAGACGACGATACTGCAACTGCCACTGTTATGCGCCTCACAATCAATACAAAATCGATGTAATTTAGTGGAACATAAATACGCACGGAACGAGTAGAAATTGGAGCACTGAAACAATATTTGATGACCTGGAAGGAAAGTAGTAATGCGCCGAGTGCTGAGGGAGTCCACGAACCACAAGGTCAAGGTCATGGCAAGACTGAGCGCTGAGGCACTGTGTGCAGTGTACACGACGTTTTCGCATGGTGCGTAGTAAGTAACTCTAAGCGTCAGTAGGGCGTTGTGACGTCAACCACTGTAGCATTTCGACCTTAGCTTCGTGGGAATTTTGGCACCGCATCACGTAATGCATGTATGACAGGTTCCTCGGCGCCCCCAGTAAGATCTGGCTGTGCTCGAAACAGCCGGGGTGTGCCAGGATATGCTGATGGTAGTAGTTGAGGAAAACAGTATTGATTAGCACATTTACAATAAGATGGGGCAAAGCCTCTGATGCTGCCTTATGTCTTATGTTTTTCCTCACATGAGCATATGAAAATCACACTGGCACATATTAGTGCGCACTTTTGATTCCCAGGGTGAATGTGCTCATATAGGCTGTAGCATCAGTAAAACACCCGGTTCCTCACCTTCCTTATATTCCACTTTTCTCGTCCAAAAAGCACAAAAAAGCAAGAGTGAAAATAAGTAGATAGCCATTTGAAAAAGGCCACTCGTTATCTGGAATTCTACTTTCCTTTCACTTGTCTTCCTTTTCAGCATGCAAAGCAAATTTTCATTTAATAACAAGCGCGCTGAAACTAGTGGAAAAGCAAAAGAAAGGGGACCATCTGAGTGAAAAGTGTGGAAATTAAGGGGGCAACATGCAGAAATATAGCATAGTAAAAAGCAGTTAGAGAGCAGGCGGAGGTACTACTATAGTGTTATGACCAACATTCACCAATAATGATGAAGGTGAGCACACAACCACTAGGACTTGGTCAAGAGGATAGCGAACAAGATGGTATTGAGCGTGAACGTCTAAGTGTCACGAATCCCAAATACGAACCATTTTTCATTTCTCGGTTTTCCTTCGGCTACTTCCAGTACCCGAGCCAGTCACGTGACTCCTCGTCATAGATCACCTGTTGCTTCTCTGATTGGTTCCCCTACTCCACGGGCTAGAACAATCTCGCTTCCTAAAGAAGAACCGGTCGGATCTTGGGTTTCTATTTAGTAACCGTCTTACTCATTTGCTTATATATCATGAAGTCATACTTACTCATCCGCAGTATCAGTACGACTCTTTTCTCATTGGTTGATTTCTTTCAGACTCCTACTCAATGTTATGTATAAAAGTAGGGTAGTTAGTGTAAGTGCTCCTTAGACTTAACCTCTTCGTTCCTACTGTTGTAGTGACCTAGACGTTCACGCTCAATACTATCCTGTTACTCATCATCATCTCTGACCGAGTCCTAGTGGTTGTGTACTCACCTTCAACATTATTGTTGGACATTGGTCATAACACTAAGTCACTACAAGCGTAGGAAACGAAGAGGTTAAGTCTAAGGAGTACTTACACTAACTAACCTACTTATATACATAACATTGAATAGGAGTCTGAAAGAAATCAGCCAATGAGAAAAGAGTCGTATGATACTGCGGATGACTAAGTATGACATCATGATATATAAGTGAATGAGTAATATGGCAACTAAATAGAAACCCAAGCTCCGACCGGTTCTTCTTTGGGAAGCGAGATTGTTCTAGCCTGTGGAGTAGGGGAGCCAATCGGAGAAGCAACGGGTGATATATGATGAGGAGTCACGTGACTGGCTCAGGTACTGGAAGTAGCTGAAGGAAAACTGAGAAATGAAAAATGGTTCGTATTTGGAATTTGTGACAATAGACCTGAAATAATGCAAAACTTGATGAGGCTAAAAAATGAGTGGCAAGACGCAAATGATGACAGCAGTGCGCAAGAGTGATGAAGATGGCCTTGAAGACACTTGAGGCGAAATCTGGACAGGGTTCAGAGCAGAGAAAAGGAGTATAGTAAAATGGTTACCAGCAAGAGCAGTGCGTGGACGTGGTGTCATCAAAGATTCTGTCAAAAGCACCCACAATTCAATAAAAATATAAATGAAAATAGGTAGTGCATAGATACACAGCAAGGCACGTTCATCTTCGGACTCGTCATCTGTGACAGTTGAGTCCGTGGGCCAGACATTTTCCTTCCATGCTGAATGTGCGATCTCCGTCAAAGACGCTACGAAGGCCACTCCCTTCTTCTTGATGGACCTGGCGTATCTCTTCGTCTTCTTGGCACACTGTTATGACTAGTGTTCACCAAATGGCAAAGACTAACACACAACCACTAGGACTCGGTGTGGGGAACATCCCCACTGTAGGCCCGTATCCCGCATATTTCCCATGCCTTCCCACCATTTTCCCGCGTGTTCTGCTACCCATCCGCATCTTCCCCGACCCGTCCGCTACACGGAACCAAGCGGAACCCAGCGGAACAATCGTGTACCACACGCATTATATTCCTTCAGCCTTCGGAACATCCTCCTCCGTCCTGTCCACGTCCTTCCATCCTCACTGGTGAGTACTAGCTACGTTCCCTGTGTCACTAACATGTTCCTATCTCATTTCCCATGTGTTACGGTACTTATACAGATCCTTCCGCTACTCGGGACTGATTCCTTATCTCACAGCCTCACCTGGTTGTAGCATATCGCATTTCGGAACCCCTTCCTATATAGGTAGCAATAGATGGGATCTTAGTTTTTTACCTTCTGATAGACTCGACTCCACTTCCACTTACAGAGTACTTCCCAGTACTCCACTCACTGTTTAAAATATCTTCCTGAATCTATTCCTGATCACATTGCATCTTTTCCGCCCCCATGAGTTCCGCTCGAAATGCCCGACATTGGATCCGACGACTTGGAGCAAGTACCAGACACAAGCCTGGTCCGACTTTGCCCAATCATCCTCCTGCAGGCTTGTAGTTTCTTTTCCCTCCATTTGTTCCCCATTAGTTCCATTTGTTCCTCATTTGTCCTGTTTGCTCCGCGTTAGTTCCATTAGTTCCCCGTAGTTCCGCTCGTCGCGTGCTGAGTTCCGCTCTTCAGGAACCCTCCGCATCTTTGTGTTCCCAGTCCTAGTAAGGACCGGAACCCTTCGGGTCGCTAGACAAAGTCTAGTCTTTGTTTCCTCGCACTTATTTGAGGACTCGCTACCCAGTAGCAATCCCCTCGGGACGAGTATAAGCCTCGCACCCTTGTTAGACTTCTGATTCACACAGAGTCTATTTTCCTCACCCACATCGGTCAAGAGGGATGATGATGAACAAGATATATTTGAGTGTGAACGTCTAGGTCTACCACCAGTGTGGAAATAAAGAGGTTAAGTTTAAGGAGTACTTACACTAACTAACCTACTTACATACATAACATTGAAGAGGAGATATCTGAGTATGAAAGAAAATCAGCCAATGATAAAAGAGTTGTACAATACTATGGATAACTGAGCATGACATCATGATATATAAGTGATGAGTCAGACAGTGACTAAATAGAAGCCCAAGATCTGACCAGTACTTCTTTCGGAAGCGAGGTTGTTCTAGCCTGTGGAGTTGGGGAACCAATTGGAGAAACAACAGGTGATATGTGAAGAGGTGAGGGTGTGACAGGAAGTGCAGTCACATGACCGGTTCGGTAACTGGAAGTAGCCAGTGGAAAGCCAAGGAATGAAAAATGATTTGTGTTTGGAATTCATGACACATTCACAATGGAATTTGGTCTCTATGAACCAAATGTTATGTTACTTTGGACTTTGCAATTCCCTAGCAACATTCCAAGCATATATGAATCACACCTTCCAACAAGAACTCAATAAAGGATGTTAGTAATCTACATGGATGACATCCTTATCTTCTCCAACTTCCTTGAAGAACACCAGAGGCAAACCCATAGCATCCTGGAAATCCTAAGGAATGAAAGCTCTTCCTAAAACCAGAGAAGTGCCTTTTTGACATACAAGAAGTTGACTATCTT